TATATATATATATATATATACACACACACACACACACTATATATATACACACACACACACACACACAGAATGAGTATGTAGCCTGTGTCTCTACTGTTCTAATGTTCCTATGAAAGAGGCAAATGCTTGGCTCCCTTCCCAGCGTTGTGCAGACTGTCTTGGGAGTTAGTAAATCAGATCCACTAACTCTACCAAGAGTTTAAGAAATGTTTTCATGCAAGAAAAGAAGGCAGTGTTTGCTGTATGCCAGCCCAGTGAGGTTCAGTTGAGTCTGTCTAGGGGGTCCTATCCTGCTATACTGTGCTATGCTGAATATACATTTTGATTGGTAAAGTTTTGCTGTACTTTGATTACTTTAAGGTCATTACTACAAGCAATCACTATGCATCAATACTTGGACATGTGTGCCGTGCGGTAAACAATGCACCTGACCCTCAGTGCTCCGCAATGCATACCTCTTTATATCCTAACACATTTAGATTGTAAGCTCTCACGGCCATCTTCTCTTGACTAGTATTGTAACTGTAATGTCACCTTATATTGTAAAGCACTGCACAAACTGTTGGCGCTTTATAAATCCTGTATAATAATAATCCAAAAACACATGTGTTGTACTGCATTAGGGACGTAATATGGTCAAGTATCCTTTCTGGTGCAGGGATGCTTGTTAAAGACCCATAGGAAATGAATAAGCACAGATGCCACAAAATGCATGAATGCACCAAGCAACGTGCACTTATAGCTGCAAATGGTCCTAAATATTTCCTTTAAATGCTAGATGATGAGTACTGTACTTGCACGTTCTTTACACACAACTGCTTATAGAAGACTACATATACACATTAGAAATGAGAAAACTTACAAAGTTGGGGATTTGTACAGTGAGGAGAAAGGCTGCCGCTTCACTCAGCAATCTCTTTTGTATTTGGATGGCTTTATTTTGAGACTCTGGAAACCGAACCACTAAGCAAAACAAAATGATGTCAGTTAACTAAAAATTTTACTTTCACAACCTACTGTGTGCAGCGGATAATCACTACTGGCAATAACTGTCTTCATTTTTATATATGTTTCTTACAATTGTTTTCTATATTATCACAGGATTAAATTAATGGCCAAAGATGTACTGCATAATGATTTACGGTACTCTACCGTAATTACTTACCTGGTGAGTAGACATCTGGATTAAACTGTATATCAAAAATATACTCGGACACAGAGCCAATCTGTTGACACGCTTCCCTCACAATATCTGCTCCTTTAAGTTCATCTGAAGGAAAGAATCAATTAAAATGACAGTGCAATTTAACCTTTCAGAAAACTAGACAGATATACGTCAATTTCTAGAACACACAACAGCTATGTGAAACTCCAGCCAAAATGTTCTGTTTCAGCTATGGATAGATGTAAGATTTATTTATATATTTGGTTATTGGTATGGATATAGAAGTATCACTTGTTAAGGCGAATTATACCGAACATCAGACCTTTTTGTACACTCACTTACTTAGCAAGACTCAGAGAGTTTGTTGTTTTGTCGGGTATATGTGTTATCCTATATATATATATATATATATATATGAAGGTATACTTGAAGTAGAATATTGGACTCTATTTTAATCTATAGGTTGAGAAAGGACAGCCATGGGAGCTTGCCTTCCCCTACTGCCACCCGTTTTCTCCCTACCTCTTGTCTTGGCTGAGTGGAGGGACTCCCCTAGATGCGAATCTGCTCATCATCATTATCACAAATCTTATTTATGGTATTTATTTATTTGATTATTTATTGATCTACGTAAGTAATTGTCATGTATGCTCAGTTGTTATTCCTAAGTACTTGATTGATAACAATCACATTCATATAGATTTCACAGGCTTCTTCTACCAACTTCCTGACGAAGCTACGGCGAAACGCGTCGAAGAATGGAAAAAGTACAGATTTTTGGATGAAGTATGCAACAATTTAATGACCAATTTATTTATTTATGGATATTTTTGTAATGAAATTAATGCAGAAAATATGAATTATTGTCACTATGCATATTAATCTGTATGGGTTCCAAAGAGGTGATAAGCCGTTTATGTATTATTGTCTTGATTTTAAAGATGAATGTGATATGGTTTTTATATATCTTGTTAACCATGAACTTAGCTTATTAAATATGAGTTTTACCATATTGATGAGTTACGTGACATTATGTTTAGCTATATCCCCTTGCATTATTCAACAGTCACCTTGAAAGCCCCATTTTTTGGTTTGTATTTATGATTGTATTCAGGGGTGTGGTGTCTCTATCTTAGTGCTGATCCCGAAAATGTTTCCCTCAGCTATGGATAGAGTGTGAAAAGGTCAGAACTTCGGTTACAGGGGCACAGCAAGCAATGAATGGTCTCTTTCATTAAAAAGTATAAAAAACGTAAACCTCTATCAGATTTTGTTTGTTATTTGCTCCCTGGTGAGGACCCAGACAATTTTAATAAGAGGCTAAAACCTTTCCCCACTCTATTCAATACCTAGAATTATTTTTGGCTGGCCTTAATATGAAGCTAACTTCAAACTGATTTCTCTAATAAACCTTATTTTCTCTATATAACATACATGGGGTACCAACACAGAGCTATAGCTAATCGGGGCCCTCCAACAAAGTGAGACTGTGTTCAGGTTACACTACAGTTTGTTATGTAGGGTTCCAAATGACAATGGTTTTCAAAAAGGTTGAGGCCAAGGATTCATGCAGACCACTCAAGTTCCTCCATACCAAACCCATCAAATCATATCTTTATGGAGCTGACTTTGTACACAGGGGCCAAGTCATGCTGGAACAGAAGAGGGCCTTCCCAAAACTATTACCACGGGCTAATATGATTACTTGTAATAGAACTTAGTGGAGAAACCATCTTTGAGAATTTTAGATACATGTGTATCTCTTTTGTCTTGTCATTGCAATCACTGCATGCCAACAGGTTCACTATAAAACGACTATGACAAGGTAAAAGCTAAAAATATATATTTAAACCATCTCTTATCTTAAATTATTAGTGAATTACCTTTCGGTAACCCATTTTCATCCTTATCAGGCTGAAGTAATTCTCCTTTTTGTGACTTCTCCATTACAATCTTCATAAACTGTGCATACCTGTAAAAGCAGTAAAGGAGGCAGAAAACATAACTAATTAATACAAAAGCAGTGCAGAGAAATGTCTCATGCAGATTTAACAGCAAACGCACCAGCCAGCATGCAAAAAAACCTGTCTGACCGCTAAGGTTAAAAACAGAGGTTTTAGATAACATCTTCTGCAGAATATGTGAAAGCCACACTGCCTCGTCAAGGCCCCTCTGTGTAGTGCGGTCCTAACTCTAACCCATGAGAGTCTCCATCTTGGAGCGCATGTAGCAAAAGATAAATTGGGTGCAGGTTCGCAAAGAGACAGCCCAACCTCCTCCAGAGCAAGAAATTGTCAGACACATGATATCGTCTACGTAAGAATGTCTGTTTATGGATAATAGGTCAGTTAACGAACTTGTGATCTTTGTTCTTTATTTTTTATACCTTGCCTCAAATGCCACCTAATTGCTGGTTTAGGAGCTTTCTCATCAAAGTAATTGCACTTCAAGACATGGAACCCTTAGACCTTACAGAAGAAGAGCATTTGGGATCAAGCGCCACAGAACCCACAGCTAGGTAATTTATTGCTGTCTATGTTCCCCGCAGGAAGACTTCAAGGTGGAAGGCTAGAACCTCAATCAGTTTTTTTATTTCTGTATGTGTCCCTATTAGAGATTCATAGAGATTCACTTCCCGCCCCCGATGACAATACTGTTACAGGCACAAATGGGGAGGAGAAATTTCCAAAACAGAGCCACAGAACACAGTAAAAATCACACTGTATACAATAAAAAAAAAACATTTTAAAGTTCACCTTTCACGCAAATTTGAGGAAGATAAAATACTCAGGACCTGTTGCATCATGTGACTATGGATTTAAGTAAGTAAAAGGGACTTTTGGGTATTTTTATCTAACCCAGTGATTATTTAGAGGGGAGGGGGTAGTGGGAGGGGACTGAATTCCTGAAGATCAGCTTTGACATCACAGTACTAATATTCCAAACCACTTCAAACTGTGCATATCGCTTATCACTTATTATATTAAACAATTCCTATGACTCTGAACTGGCTGTACAACTTACTTTTGTTGTACAAAGACTTCCAAGAGTTCTGGGCGTAAACTGCATAGACGGTGCTGATAAGGTTTAGGAAATCCAAAGTTGCGACACTCTGGTAATATATATTCTTCCTGCAATGGAAGGAAGTTCACATCTGGAGGGAATGTGCGGATGAGGTCCAAAATGTAGTGGCGGCCATCATTACCCACTATCCCTTTGCATTCCACAGAGGAGCATAGAAGCAATTCTTCATTCTTCTCACAAAGAACAGCATGCCTCATTATCCTCAGTGGTTTACAGGCCTTGTGGAGTAAGGAGAGATATTTTGCACTTGTTGACACAGTTTTACCAAAGTCAATGGATCCATAAACGACACTCTGGTCTTCTTTACGGTCTAAAATTCCAGGTATGATTGACTGAGCAGATATGCGGTATCCTCTGTAATCAAGAACAACAGTACCCAATATGTGAAGTTCTTCAATGTCCAGGTCACTGTAGGCCTGTACACCTTTCAAGTCATGGCTGGCAGCAGCGTGGGCTGCATGATCTCCACCCAGATCCTTATAGTGATCCCTCACATCAAATCCAAAGCTGAAGAAGATGTTGTTCCAAATAAACATCTGCATTTTTGTCTCTTCACCAGGGTTAATGGCCATAACATTTCCATCTATGCTTGCCATTGCTCCTCGAGTGGAGGCTCCAACAAAATCAGAGTTGATCTGAAATAAAGTCATAAAAGAATGTTTCTAATAATGTTAAGTGCTATACATAAAGTGTCAAACCCAACAATAAAGCAACTCATTGGCTGCGTAATACTAAACTGTGTGTGTGGGAAATTGAAGAACAATTCTAGCCCAAACATGTTCTTTTGGTTTTTGGTGAAGTGGTTAAGGGTTAGAAAATCTGTTGATTGGAAATGTTATGTCCCTGTGTCTGCTGAAAGAAATAGCTTTTACTGCTTGTCTATGACAGAATTGGTGTGCTTTTTCAGATGCTCTATGTGTGGAAATTCTGACAGTACAAACAATTTGTATCAATTAAAAAAAAAATCCAAACAAAAATCACAAAAAGCCAATCTAGTCTGAAAGTGTTTTTATAATAGTTCTTGTCAACAGAGCTGACACCCCAGTCATCCTCATATCCATGGGAGTGTTTTTATTATGACTTAAAGTGACATTAAAGTGACAAGTAAAAAAAAAAATGTCCCTCCCCCCAATGTTAATTAAAGCACTTACCTTAAATGATGTTTCTTAATCCGATCTTCTGCTTTCCTGTCGTTTTCATCTATCCCTCCAGCGCTGTGGCGGGTCTCCGATCCAGCGCTGACTCCTCTGTCCTTGCTGGCACTTCCTGTCCCACGGGGTCTGCATGCGGGTGCACGCGTCCATATACTTACCTTGTGCCTCTCCTCGTCTCCTGGTCCAAAATGTGAACTGCGCAAGTGCCTGCCCCATGATGCTTTGGAGCCGCCTGAGAATTTTCGCGGGGAAGATACAGGCATTAAAGGAGAATTATGAGGTGAGTGATTTTCACTCAGCCTCATAATCTGAGCTGACCTGTGACAATGAAACAGGTTGGGTCAGTAGATCGGGAAGTAAGCCAACACATACCGGCGCTCGCTCACTTCTCGATCATGTGCCGGCAGAGAGCCGTGACAGGGGAGGGACTGGATTCCCCCCTCACCTGTCCCATCCTCCAGCGCTGACAGGCGGAACGGACAGGGGAGGGGGCGGGTACAGCTGGCTCTGCCTCTAGATAGGTAGAGCCAGCTGTCACTCACGCAGCTGGGTGGATCCAGACATAATTATCGGGATCCATTCCGGCTGCGGCGTCTCAGTATACCACGAGCTGTAGATCGCGGTATACTGAGCTTTGGGTGACGGGAGGACGCTAGTTTGTGTTATCCTTAGCAGAACTATGGGGAAAAGCCCTAACTCCATAGTTCTCCTTTAAACCTCTTTTAAAGAGGTTTTTTTTAATTTTTTTACACATGCAAAAAAAACAGAGGGTTTAACACAAAATACAACTTTTACAACCCTGCTCCTCCCCTTTTTTTATATATACAATCTTGCAACATTC